GAGGACGCCGAGTCATTATACAAGGTCATTGACCCAGAGTGTGCATTGATGAATGACTCGACTCATGATGTTGAGTACACGTCCGAGATGGCGTTGGTGATGACCTGGATGGATTCGACATGCTCCACGGATATGTTCATATTTCTGGAGGTCGAACATGAAACTGGGATGTGTAAAGACTTATCTCTTCTCTTGATGGTTGTTGATATCCGTGCTCGGTATCACAAGAACGTGGCCACGAGAGTCTACTTTAACGTTCAATTTTCATAAATTTGTCTTTACCTCTCGTCCGGCATCACAGGAAGCCATTATAGCATCAAGTGCCTCTCAAGCAAGGGGAATTTGTTCCGAGCTTCCATCGGGACTATTACTGGAGAATACGAAGGCGTGGCATGATCGACACTTCTTCTTGGACCCCGGTTGATTTTGGTCCAGGTTTCGTCAAACTAATGACGTTAAATAAGCGCTTCTTGGGAGGCAACCCAAGTGATTTACTGCTTTCTTGTGTGTTTCGTTTATGCTTTTCATATTATTTTTTATTTTCTTTGAATGATTGTAGTTTGTGAAGCTTGTTTTCTTGACAGGTCGTATCGAGGACCGGTTGATAAAGGGGCGGAAGGTTTGAACGCGAATGCTTATTTCCATTGAGGCTACTTCGGTTTTGAGTTACGATTGGTGAAGTGACGATGTTGTTGAATGAGGACGTATCGAGCATTGGGATGAGCTTAGACGAGCGGCTTGTACATGAACGTTTAATTCCTCGACGTTGCTTCGGTTTGCACACCTTTTCTCTTTTATTTTTGTTGAGTGTATTTGTTTTAGATTTTGTGTCATTTTGTTGGATGCTGAATTGGTTCATGATGTGAAATTGCTAAGTCTTGATATTTGAACTTCTCGGTTATGTGTGGAAGCAATGAGGACATTGCTTCATTTTAAGTGTGGGGGAGTTTCTTTGGATTTTTCATGCTTATATGGTGGACCGGTCTAGTATCTAGGTTGTTTTTGTTTTCGAGCATGTGGAATTAGTGAAACGTTTGAATTGTTTGATTGATGTTTAGCAAGATTGAGAAGTTGTGATGACGGTCGTGTGGACCATGGCTTCTATATTTGCTTAAGCTTTGAATGATAAATTGCTACCTTATGAGGTTTGAGCCTTGTTTTCTTTGCTTGTGAGTATTGGTTGTATTCTCGTATAAC